CACTGTATATTACTCTTTTTATTATTCACCCTTTCGTGAAAAAACCCTAATAAATTTACCAAATTTTGTGAGATAATGGATTTATTCATCAGTAATTAAATTCGAAAAAGTATTCACAATATTAATCTTTTCCCCCTATTAAATTAAAGAGTCTTTTAATTTCTAAATTGTTTTAACGCGTTTATAAATCAAAAACAATAATAATAAATATTTTTTTGTATAAATTTTTCAGTTGAATTAAATTTCCATTATTTCCTTGTTAGGTTTTCGTGGATATTGGATCAAAGATGTCTGTTTATTACAAGTTCAAATCTGCCCTGGACTATGATACTGTCACGTTTGATGGATTATATATATCTGTTGCTGACCTAAAGAAAGCAATTCTTCATCAAAAATGTCTGGGGAAAAATGTAACATTTGATCTTCAAATTAGCAATGCTCAGACTAAAGAATATTATGTAGATGATAATGAATTGATTGCAAAAAACACGAGTTTAATTGTAATTAGAGTTCCAATAATAGGCAAGCAAAAAAAATCTTGGGATAAAGTAGAATCGCAATTATCGAGCAATCCAAAAAGAGTGTCTAATTTGATTTATGCAGCGGATTTGACACGATTAAATGGTTCTGAAGAAGATAAAATTCGGGCAATGATGGCTCAATCAACTCAAGATTATAATCCATCTAATTACATGAAAATCCGTGGTGCTAATCAATTTGGAGCTCCTCCATCTAATTACACTTGTTATAAATGTCATCGGCGAGGACATTGGATTAAAAATTGTCCTCTTAACTCACATCCGAAGCGTAGTAAGATCAAGAAAAGCACTGGTATTCCTCGAAGTTTCATGGTACCAGTTGAAGGGCCATCAGTTCCTGGTGCTTTGATGACTTCAACAGGTCAATATGCAGTTCCAGTAATCGACCATCAAGCCTACACGGACAGTAAAAAAAAACGTTCTCCATTATCTGAAGACCTTGGAGTAAAAAAATCAGAAATACCAGAAAACTTACTCTGTACTATTTGCAGAGGTTTATTAACTGATGCAGCGATAATTCCATGTTGTCGAAATTCTTTTTGCGATGAATGTATTCGTACTTTACTGTTGGAGTCAGAAGATCATAAATGTCCCAAATGTAATAAAAAAGATGTCTCACCGGATGCTTTGGTACCAAATCCATTACTACGCAATGCTGTGATGACTTTTATGTTTTATGAATCGGTTTATGATAGAAGATAGAATGGCTGTTTCACCAAACTACAATCAGCCACCTCCATCAATTCCATCACTATTTTTACCTGATCCATACATGGGACATAGCATGGCCATGTAGTCTCATCCTTTTCCAGGATTGGATTTCAAGTATCACCATGGAAATACTAATGGGTAATTATAATTCTTAAATCATTTTAACTCCAAAAGTATTGACAATAAATTGAATGTTTTTATTATTAATATTTAATATTTTATTTACAGAGTTATTGATGATCCTTTGGAAGTTTTTGAAAGAAAGAAGATTGGGCAAACGATGACGATCTCGATCTAGATCATTTTCAAGACGTTCTCCTCTATCATCCCGTATGAGTATATCTCGTAGTCCAGCTCCCAAGAGAAGGTCATCAAGAACACTATGTTAACGTAGCCGAACTCCTAGAAGATTATCTCGCAGCGGAAGCTTTTCCACTAGCCGGTATATTTAATTTCCTTTGTCTTAGAAATTAAAATATAAATTTCAAAAAATTTATAGAATCATTCTGTCTAATTTCAGATCAAGATCATATTCTCGCAGTGAATCGCCAAGAGGTGGTAATTTAAGGAGTCAGGAAAGAAATCGGGACTGTGATTTTTATTTCAGGAAATCAAGCAGTCGTCATTTACCTCAAAATTCATCATTACATCATAATATATCACCAGTTATGCGGGAATGTCATTACTTGATTCGGGAGGACACCAACCACTACCAATCAACAGGTAATTCCCTGACCATAGTATTTACATTCTTCTCCTTAAAAAAAAATTTTATGTTTATACAATGTTTTTTTAAAGTTAACAATTAATATTTTTGAAAATTCACCAAGAAGATAGGAGATAGAAATTTATTTTGAGATAAATAAAATGATGTTTAAAAGATGTTCAAAGAATTTCTTGGCTTCTTTTGACAGGCGGTCATTTGTGCCATATGCACTCTAACAATTCTACCATGTAACTTTTGTGTCAAACTCTAACTTTTTACTAATGGTTAATAAATTACGTCGATATAATAGGGATAGTTTTAATTTTCTATTAATAAACTAAATCTCTAGTAATTTTATTGAGATAATATTCGTAATCTTTTTTAATCTTAGATAAAATAATCTTAAAAAATCGAAAATGAAATCTTTTCAATTTATTTACTGATTGTTTTTTTTTTATTTCAGTTATTGCCAGCTAATGTAGTGGATCCAATGGAATTGCTGTCATACTTGGACCCTCCAGACCTCTTTCTTTCTATCATTACTATATTTTTTTTTAGAAATAACATGACATTGTAAATGTCACAAAACAATTTTTATCCAATGTATTTTATATAAATTTACATACAGGAAATATTATTATTATGAATGTATACAACAATCTATTTTCTACAATAAATAATAGTTTCTTAGAATAAATTAATTGTAATAAATAATATTATTATTTTTCCTTCCCCCTTCTTAACTTATTTATACTTACTTATTGATATGTTTACGCGCAGACTAAACATCGGTGTTAACAAAAATTTGTTGAAGCATTTACACACAACCCCGACGTTAGGCCGGCGGTAACACCGATGTTACTTAATTCCACGCCTATAGTTCATGTGTGAGATAACAAACTGGAACAGTGAATTGGAATATAAAAAGACAATTATTGTTTATTGTAATAAACATTCTTGTCGACGCATCGCAATTTGCCATTGTTTCCGTAGATTGATATCATTTTGGTACATGGAACAAAATGCTCTTTTCATGATTCACTTTATGTCTAGATTTGCACCCCGAAACAACACAATATGCCATACTGATATTAATGCTCTAACTTTCATAATAATTCACTCGGCTGATAATCGCTTCAATATGGAAACTACGTGAACACTGTTTTTATAAATTTGAGTCATACAGAATGATGCTTTACTATATGAGTAAATGATCAATGTTTGAAATAATTAGGCTACTTATATGTACTTTCCAGGTTCATAGATATTTTTTTAAGAGCGTTACCTGAAAACTGTTAGGTCGATCGGCTACTTTTGACTTCCCACCAAGTCATGGAACATGCCGAGTACATGCGATTTGCATTATATAGGCGTGAAAATCGTCCGAGAAATCCATCCTACAAGGTGGAGTTAGTGTAGTTGACTAAATATTTTAAGAAATTGGTATCCACCCTATTTATTAAGACACTCACGTTTAAAGTTAAATGGCTACAGCTTGTCTTAGGGTGCTTTCCACTTAGGACACTGTGTCGAGTTGTGTTACACATTGTGTTGCTTGGTGTCTAGTTTGCCTGTATCCGGTTATGTATAATTGCGTCTCTAAATGGAACGGTCAAGTGGGACACAAAGCTACACAACTCGAAATAGTGTCGAGCTGTGTTCCTAAATGGAAAGCACCCTTAATGTAGCCCGCATATATCTGTCTATTCAACTTTTACCTTGCCCGCATATTATCCAGGTATCCAAAACAGCCTAAGTGGTATTGACCATTGAAGCACTAGGGTAGTGCTGAATTGCCAATAATTCAATTGTAAAATAAAACAGAACAATGAATTGGCGTTGACAAACTTTTAGAAGTAACCAAATACGGCGATAAAGTTGGTAGATTTCCACATTCCTATCTCGAAAGGTCAATGGTTATAATGACTGTACATAAGATTAACTTTTGTTCGCAAAACTATAATAGTTTGGAGAACTCCATTTCTTTTACAATACTACTGTTGACTTGTGAGGTAGATGCAGTTAACAATCATAGGATTTATTGAAAAGCTGCAATTGATTCTAAGAAGAATAACACCAAATCCAAGTATTTGAACGTTTTAGTACTCGAAGTAAAGGTACAAAGTAATTTTGCCGTGAGCTTCAAGGATTCGGAATAGTCTCTCTGCAAAAAACATGCAGATATTTTCCCTCATGTTCTGATCTTGCTACTTACACTTCAAATCCTCTAAAATCACAATTATTGTTATTAATTTAAAAATTAATATTATTTATTAAAAATTAATATCTTCGATAGTTTTGATATTTAAGGAATGAAAATTGACAATAATACTATAAATGACTCAATTAACAATGTAGAGTAGATAAATTAATTATTAAATTTTTTTTTAAGTCGAATGATAATTCATGAGAGCATCAACTTGCTCACAAAGGTCCCAGATTTCAAGGACTTTGAAAATTCAGGTTTTTGTGAAGTATGAATGCACGATGTGCTTTAAGTCTAGCTATGAATATGACTACTCGTTCACTCATTGGTATCAGTGTTTTTGCTTGCATTTCTGCACTTACAGCAATCATTTTGGCAACTCAAACAAATCTATTTGGAAAAAAATATTCATTTGGTGAATTACATGATATTGTTTCATTAGCAGACATTAGATTCTGTGGAAGTTTAATGTTGAGAGCTTATCTAATAACATCATTAAATAGTTTTTCGGTAATTATAGTTTTTTATGAACATTCGTTATTATTATTACGCATTTCATATTTTATTTTTTGGGGCAAGAGAATTTAATTTCGAATTTAATGTACGAAAGATAGTTAATTTTCAATTAAATTGAAAACTTTTTCAGTAGAAACGTTTGTTTACATTAAGTTTGAAAAATGAGTTAAATAAAAATTATTATTTCCATATGAAATAACATAAATATTCGTCTTATAACATGATTTTATGTGCAAATTTGTAATTGTCTTCTCTGTGCTTAAAAAAACAATGCATTTTTTTTAGTTTGATCATAAGAGCAAGATAAAAAGACATTTTTTTGCTATCATATTTAATGCATCTGGGACAACAATTGCTAGATTTCCTACCAATGGAATGGTTCTGTCTGTTAAATTGAAAGATCAAGGTGAAGATTTATTGATTGGCAGAACTTTGGAATCAACTTCTTTAGTTCCAATACTTGGATTATATCAAGTTGAAAATACTCGAGGGAAACTTAAAGTAGCCAATGAGCCTGGTAATGATACAAATGAACATTTAACATTGTTATCAGAAAAACAAGATCAGATAAGTGATAATGTTATTGATAAAAATAATCAAAAGAATCCAAATTTTAATCAAGATCAAATCAATTCTAATAATAATAATAAAAAATCCGGAGGAAAATTAGTTGTCTATGGTGATTCGAATTGTATTGATGATAGTAATCATAGGAAACGTAAGAATTAATTAATAATTTATTTATTCAGTTATAAATCAAGTAAGTTTCTTTTTTTTCTAAATTTAATTATCTTTTTCAGCATCATGTTTTTGGATGTTAGATGCAATTCTTGAATACACGGCAACAGGTCACATTCCTTCGATATTTATGGATGACAACCTTCATCATCTAGGCCATAAATCAGAAATAATATCAGAGAAACTCGAAATTGGCATATTACCGGAAAGGATGGAAGGGAATCATTTGTATAGACACAGTAAAGTGTTGAAGAATGATAATATTGATAATAAAGCTATTCAGCTACTTCCAACTTGTCCAGTACTTAATTATGCCATCTCTCAACCACTCAACGAATCAATTCCTATGTAATTAATATTTATTTTTTATAATTTAATTGAAGTTGTGAAATGCTAAAGCTGGAATGATCTCTTAGACAATTACCAAAATAAACTTTTTTTTCTACTACATAAAAGCTTTATATTTTTTATTAAATATATTCACTTTTACTTGTTGTTATTAATATGTTTTAACACTAATTATTTTTTGTTACTGATATGAAAATTAATATTAACACTTATTGTCACTTACACATGGGGATATCAACTGCCAATACTTTCTCACTTTTAATCCTATCTTTTCACATATATTACCGATAATAAAAAATTCGGAGTTTTCATTTATTTTATATCTTTATGTGTTGTTTAATAAAATCAGTCGCCATCCTTTGATAAGTAATATTTCAGATATAAACATTTAAATTGTCATCATTTTATTTTTATTATTATTATTGTGCAGTAGGATCCATGTATTTTCAACTAGAAAATTTTCATTAGAATAATTAAATGAATAAGACAAATAATTTTAGTATGTCTAAACTGAATTAATTACAAGTAGATAGAGATGAAAATACATAGACCCTACTGTATCTATGTTAAAAATTAATTTTACATCAAATATTAAATTACAATTGTTAATTTTTAATAAATAAATACGTAGAAAACAATTACCATTAGACATTTTATATTATTAATATATACAATATTTTTATCAATTGTAAAATGGATTATATGTAACCCAATGAGCTTTTGTTTGTTCTTTAGCAGATTTATGACTGGTAAAAATACTTTTCAATACTTCTGAAGCATTTGGATCTTTAGCAACACTATAATTATCTTTGATTTTCTTAAACGCTGGATCCTGAGGTTCAATATTTTTTGAAGTACTTCCAATACTTGAACAACTAGTACTATCATTCATCACTCCTTCAGTTTTAATTTTTTTTGAACTAGGTTTCGAATCATTTAGAGTTTTATTTGCTTTCATGACATCATCAAGCTGATCTTTTTCCTCTTCAACTTGTTGACTGTCAGCATTAGCACGTTTCTTGCTAGATTTTTTGTTGCTTTTATTTTTTGTTTTTCTTGTTTGCATGTTTTCAATCATGAGATTCAAATCATCACCTTCAGCATTCATTATGACGACATCTGATGGTTCGAAGGGAGTCTGACATTGATGACAAACCTACGAATAAATGAAAGAATAGTTTTTATTGGAGTTTATGTAGAAAGTTGATGCAGTAATTGTGTTATATGATGGTACTTACTGTTGTTTTAACTTGCTTAAGTGCTCGTTCACTCATGACACATCCACAAGTCCAAAGGAAACAGAATTTATACTTTCCATTCATTTCTAATCCTATGACAGGACAAATATAAGGACTTTTATTATGACTGTAATCATCACCTTTCTCTATTTTAGCATCATCGTAAGCTGGATTTGGGGTTAAGTTCAAACTTTTGACGTCTTTTAATGTTTTTATATGAACTGCTGATTCTGGAAGAATTGATCGATCCAACAATCCTTCAATGACAGCTTCTTTGCTGTATAATTTACCAAGACTGCAACTCACAATTGGAGATTGCAATGGTAATTGTTTTATTGTACAATGTTTCCATTTGAAAGCTAACTCTGCATTTTTATCTTTCTATAAATGTAAGAAAATTAATTTGTTAAATAAATAAAAGAAACAATAAGACGTAGTAAATTAATTATTGCTTTTAGTATTTGATAATAAAGTTGATTAACCTTACCTGTTCTGGCTTTTTTTTAAGACGCACCAATTCATCTCGACGGGGAATCGTACCTCCATCACAACCCATGATTATAATTAATTGTTTTTTTAATTTATAAATCCAACAAAAGATATGAATAATAAACAATTACACGATTTTATTGTATAAACAAACTTTAGTGAGCATCGATCAGCTCGAGTTCACCATTAGCAAACTGCTGAACACAGCTGCCAACTTCCGCCAGACACTGGTACCAACCCAAATAAATTAAAAATTAAAGAACTTATTTAAATATTAACAGCAATTTATTTAATCTATAATTACCTGTTTACACGAATTGCACAGTAACTTTGCATTACTTTTTTATAACAAATTTTAGGTTATGTATGTTATGATCAGGTTCTTTAATTTTTAATTTATTTGGGTTGGTGCCAGTGTCAGGCAGAAGTTGGCAGCTATGATTAGCAGTTTGCTAATGGTGGACTCGGGCCTGAAAAGGTCTGCGTTTCTATAGTAACAACAAGGTTGTTTATATTTTCTTGTTAGTCATGGTGAACGAGTGGTTGGCTTTAATAAAATCAGCTAAAAAAACAGGAATTATCCAAGATGGTTAGTATTTCTTATTTAATTATAAATTACAATTTTAGTCTTTAGAAAACAAGTTATTATCTGATACAAATAATATAACCTCTAATATTTTAAATGTAATTTTGATCATCCATTGCTTGTTCTAGGAAAGAAGAAGGTTCATTTTTTATTACATGATGGTCGAGAGTTAGTAGAAGAATATAATTTAGACACCAGTATAGTTGTAAGAAGAGCTTGGAAAGAAAAAGGAAAGTTGAATCAAGATGCTGGATGGACAGTTGAAATTGGAGACCCAGAACCTCGAAAAGATAATAATGAGATCTTTATGATAAAAGAGAGTTCAAATGCTGTAAGTTTCAATTGATAATAATCATTCCTAATAATAATAATTTTATTGTGATCCCTGCAATCAGAGGTATGCAATAATCATTCTCATTTATTATAATTATCATTGTTGGTTATTTTTGCAGCCATTTGTTACCAGAAGAATTACCAAAACATCTTTAGAATGGCGAATACGTAATTTACCATATCCCAAAGATGTATTTGATGTTAAAGTAGACGATGATGGTCATTCAATTGTTGTTAAAACGACTAATAAGAAATATTATAAAAAATTAACTGTACCAGACTTGGAAAGAGTTGGATTGAAACCGGTAAAAGAGAATTTAAGCTTCACTCATCAATTTAATACTCTAATTATCACAGTAAGTACATCAAACTACCTGTTTCTTACTTCATTTAAATATTTTATTTTTAAAAATAATTTTTTTTATAGTATAAAAAACCTCCAAGCTTGATACAGTTAGAAAAAGAGGTCTTGAAAGAAGTTGAAAATGTAAAAGTACTAAAAGATAATAATCCTCAATGTCCAACAAGCTAGATTATCAACCAACAATAAGATGAAATCAAATTTCCTACAATACCGATAGTTGTAGACAATTCTTTTACCGACCCAACAAAGAAGGTTATAATCATTCCAGAAATTCTCGGCCTCTGGTGAGTGTTTGACGAACTACAGTGAATAAATAACAAAGACAATTAGTGTTCCTGTTTTAGTAAAATTTAACCTTTTAGTAAAAAAAAAAATTTATTAAGTAATAATTATACATAAATTCCATTATAATGCCGAGAAGGAAATCCGTCCCTGATGCGTATGTCAATAAATTAAATTTTTTACTCCAAAAAATATATGTTTATTATGTTGATATTCTAAAAGTGAGGTTATAAATATTTGTGAATATAATATTCAATAAAACATTGATAAATTGATTGTTGTAGAATATATTATCATCGAATATAATTAAAACAATTATTTACATATATTTTTATTCAAATATTCAACCAAAAATAACTCTTTAGACTTAATGTGAGGTTAAAGTTTTGACATCAATTTTGATGCTCTGTTTTTGAAAATTACGCATTAATGTCGACATTTTAAATAATAACATAATAATAATAACTATTTAACATTTAAAATCCTTTCTCTAAATAAATCTTTTTATCTATTAGCTAAAAAAATGATTCCAAACAAGAATTAAATTATTGAAGACCTGAAAACTTTATTGATCAAACAAAAACTATTTTAATTACATTTTTTTTTTTATCCTAACAGGTGGTTAGATTATAAGCCATATGGATCTGTAATTGACGGAACAAGATTTTTGGCCTTTAAAGTACCACTGTCAATGGTTAGTAACAATTATAATTATCACAAACTAATTTTGATATCTTATCTAATTGGTTCTGACACCAGACTTATCTTTTAAATACCTCGATGCATATTGTTAAGTCTAAATTCTCTGAGATCTGATGGGGGATGATTGTGGTAACCGCAGGGGGTTCTATCGCTGTTAATAAGGCCCACAGTTGAGGTCTTAGTATCTGATAATGTTTAAATATTAACTGAGTGATGAATTACTTTTATTCTTTTCTTTCTGGAAATATTTTGAGTCTCTAAAACACGACAGTGACTTATGTTTTATCAAGACCTGAAAGTCATATTTATTGTAACATTAAAATTAATAATTATTATTTTATTATTTTGTTTATTATGGTCATAATGTAGTTTGAATAATTTCATGTAATTATCATGATACTGTGAGCTATCAACACTATGATGAAAATAATGTAGAGATGTGAAAAGAAGAAAAAAAAAATACAAAAGAAGGACAGAAATTTAATTGTTTTCTGTAGTGGAAACCCATTAATTCCTTGTGCCACCTGGGGATTAGGTATAGACACCCTGCGGATTTATACGCCCTCAATCCAAGGATTTATTATTTTTCCATGAAGTTAGACAAGAGTCGATACGCGTTATTAGTAATAAGTGTTTGTTTAACACCCCGCAGTGCTTAAACTTTAGAGTAAATCTTGAGCAACTTTTCTTCTACTTTTTTTTTTTTTCTTCCTTTCTTTTTAATATACCGACATACCATCAACAAAGGTGATTCTAAGCAAAACGATCACACTTTCTTAACTCATGGCTAACTAATAACACATTTTTTTTCAAATCTTTTGAGGATTAATTGTATGCTAATAATGATGAAAATTTTTTAATGACTTGTAGAAATAATTTTTTCCTTTTTCGGTGGAAAATGAAGTATTGTTTTTTTTTTTTGAATAATTTAAAAATTTATTTAATAATATACAAAACTCTTTATTAAAGACTATTTAATTTATTCAATCAGATATTGATTATTATTTTTATAAATATTAATTTAAAAATTAGTTTGATAAAATAATTGTTTTATTTATTTTAAAGATGACAGATCATAAGATTTTTTATTTAATAAAAAAAAAAAGAATGAATAAACAAAGTTGATTAATTCTTGAAGTTTAAATAAATTAAAAGAACATAATGTGAGGAATAAATATTGAAAAATATTTTAAGCATCTTATTAATTACAATTAATATAAAATTAATATTTATAATTAAAAATGAAAAAATATAAAACGAAAATAAATGTTTTTTTTTTTAATTATAGTATTTTTGATGCACAGAGAATAATTGATAAATTTTTCTGAATGACATTATAATTTATTTAAACCAATTTTTTAACTTTTTTCAAAGAATAATGATCAGATGTTTGGTATTATAGTTTAGTTTGGGATGTAGTTAGTTCTGTCATGTGTTATTAAATGAGAATATATTTATGAAATTTAAAAATCAAGGACAGAAAAAGGGCATTATTTGTGATTGGTAAGCTACAAATTTGAATGTTCGACAAATTGGGCAGTTGTGAAAATGTCGAAAAAGACCGACATTAGTCTTGATTCTTTTTCCACGCCTTTCGTAGTATTCTGTTCGTTTGCCGACAATCGGTCGTAACCAACAAAAGCAAAACGGTACCAATAAATCCGAGCAAATTCGGTTGACTGTCCTAACCTGGTGACAGTAAACAGTAGTTAAGGGTCTTTGAAGGCGGAGAGGATGAAAATAAAGAAAAAAGGAAAGGGCCGAATGAAAAAGTAATATACAAGGGAAGAAAAAGGCAGGTGGGCTTCTTTGACCTCATGCACGCGTCATTTATTCAAAATTTATGTACCAGAAACATAAAAGACTCAACTAAACATATCTAAACTAGTATGCTACCCGATTCGGCTGTTTATAAATTTTGTCAATATGCATCCGTTACCAGAGACATATATTTTTATTTTCGTAGTAACATGGTTTGAGGTAAAAAAAAATAAAAAAAAAAAAAACTTTGGTTATGGATTTTGTAATATATTTTAACATTAATAGTCTAGTAGTCTTTATGATTGCAATGTTGACATTTTTTGGTTAATTTTGAGAAACATTGGGGGTAAAAAGAGTGAAGAGGAATGCAGGGTAAAAGTGAGACTGGGGTAAAATGAGGATACTAAAGAATTATGTTTTTGAGGATTATTATTTCGTAGTCCTTAATTTAAAAAAAAAATGATACAATTATTTTTGAGCACGCTTTTACCCATTTTACTCATCCTATTTTACCCCAGGTGTCTCATAGTATTTTAGTCTGTTATATTAATAAATTAATTAACAAATTAATGGATAGTAATTAATATTAATTAATTAATAAATTGACAAAGCAATGGACAAACAAAATTATGATTATTTTTACACCAAAAAAAAAGGATTGAGTAAAATTTACCCCCTGGGTACTGAGTAAAATTTTACTTTGCAAGGTAATAAAATTTTCTTGAAAAAAAAACAAATTTTTATGAAGCTAAAAAAATTTTTTTACCCTTTTGTGTAGGGTAAATATTACTATCCCGCAGGGTAAATTTGATTTAATCCTTTTTTCATGTAAATTCATTTAAATTAATTAATAAATTGTGTTGAGTATTTCACTTTACTCTTCCTCAAAAGTTAATAATTAATAATATTTTATTTATTATTCATACGCTAGGTAATGGTTATTTATCGGTCATTTTACCCCCAAGTATTGTAATCATTTATTGCTAGTGAAGTAGTTAAGTATTCACATGGTGTTTTAATTTTTCTAAAAGTCAATGAGTAGAACATTTATGCAAAATTTTTAAAATTTTAAAATTATTATAAATATCTTTGATCTTGTTTCTTATAAATTATATATATTAATATATTTTACTCAATTATTTATTTATTTTCTTTTTTTTCTTTCAATAAAAAACATTATCTATCAAAATATTTCGTATCGTAAAATAATACTGACAATGTGATGATTATTCTCGAGTTGTTTATTCCAATGTAATGCCAGCTAGACTCCCTAGTGTGTCACATAGTAACAAAAAAAAAAAAATATTTAATTTTACGACGGTCTGTAATATGAATTTCGTACGATTGTGCTTATTAGGTGTAAATTGAATTATAGCATTGAGGTTTGTGACAAATGCAATTTTATTTTATTTCATATTCTACTTCTAGTATATAAGAAGAGATAACTAATTAGGGTATGCGAAATCATGCTAATTCTTACTGTCTGTTGCATTAATAATTTTTTTTTTTTTATTACGAGAACTGAATGAAATACATTTTAAGACAGAATGATTTAATTCAGCTCATTAAACAGTCATAAATCTTTACAATAAAAGCATAAAGTAATAAAATAAAAATTTCTAATTAAATTTTCATAAAATTTATATAATATTTAAATGTGTTCTAAAAAACATTTTATATCATTTTTTATTTACTTATTACACAAAGTTTTTTTTTTAATGGTTTCTAATAAATAAATAAATTATTATTATTATTAATTAACAATTATAAATTAATAATCATTTATATTAATAATTATTAATTATAAATATAATTAATTAATTACTAACAATAATTCATTATTATTATTATTAATCAATTATTTTTCATCAATAATTGACACATTTTTTTTACAAATTAAATATTCGTTGAGAATTAAATATATATAAAAAATTCTTTCTATTTAATAATTAAAAAAAAAAGTAAAGGTATATAGGTTAATAATAATAATAATAATAATAATAATAAAAATCTTTAATACTTGAATCACAAAAGGATCAAATTACCTCGATTATCCAGCAAGAATTCTGTCTCGTAAATCATTTTAAATCTTTTTCATTCCAGCAGTATATTGTTGAATAAAAAATATTTATCAAATGAATTTTAATCAAATCTTAAATACACAAATATTTAATTACTTCAAGTAGCTTTTAATTAAGCTTTACAATCATATTAATAAATTTATAGAAAAAAAATTTTAATTTACTTTTGATTTTTGTTGTGTTATTGAGTTAAATTAAATTTTATTTTCATTATAAATTATTTTGATAATAATAACAATATATTCAATCTACTACTATCAATTCCAGTGTTTTTTTTTTTTTTGAAATTGTCGATAATGTCAAGTGATGTGTGTAGCTGTATTTAAATTTAAACGTTTTTCTGTATTGGAGAAAAGTGGTTCTGTCATATACACGAAATAAATACATTGTATGGCACAATGTAGCTAACCGATCGTAAAAAAAACTGATAATCCTGATTTAGTCGCGACCGTATATCGAGCTAAAGATCACAATATTGAATGGTATGAAATCAGTTGAGATTTTTTTTCCTTTACTTGAGGATTTGTTGTATTTATTTTTTCCTCAATTATTTTGGTTCTCAGAGTTGTATAAAAATACCTTGGAGAATACATTACTGTGAACAAGAGAGATTTTTTTTTAATCATTAAGGTAGTATGGTTTAAAATATAAAAATAAACTCAGAATAGTGAATATATTATTTGTATTAAAGATAAGCATCGAGATTAATTGTTTTGTCGATTTTAAAAATGCTTTAATTATAATTATAATTTTTGAATATGAAAAAATTAAATTTGATTTATTTATGTCAACAATTGACAGCCATTTTCATTGCATCTGAATTATTTTAGATAGAATTGTCTAGAGTGTTGGTTTGTTATGATGTCTTAGATTACGAGATTGCTTTTAGAACTAAAATTACTGATGTTAAAAGTTGACAATTGGTACAGAGTATCTCCAATGCCTTCAAGCTTTAGGAGAGTTTAAGAAATCATTCTAATTGATTTTATCATTACTTTCATTTACAAAGCAATGTTTAGACCATTGTGTCATGGTTGTACAGGATACTAGACAGAACTAGGTAGTGTACAATGATTGTATGGCATACCAACAGGATATTATAAGTGGATTTTAAGACTTTTTTTTTAAATCACATTCTATTGAACACTCCAAAGTCTTAGCACCTAATTAAAATTCTTAATTAATAATTCAACTCTACACTGTGAACAAGAAAGATTTCTTTTGATCATTGAAATCGAAATTTCGAATAGTCGTGATAACTTTTTCATGGCATCTGAATGATTTTGGATAGAATTGTCTAGAGTGTTGGTTTGTTATCATTTTTTTATTGGATCCAATGTATTGATTACTTTCAAGTCAAGTCTTTTCTAACATCAAAGAAAAATAGATCGATTGAGTTGAACAATTAATTGAATGAATAATTATTTATTAAGACCCATGGAGTCTGGAAGAATAACAATCAAACATACTAAAAATAATCAACATTTATACCTTAAATAACGATGTATGTAGTAAGTAATAATATTAAACTTATGTCCACTGCTCATTTCCTTGAGGAATAAGTAGGCTGTTAGAAATCCACTCATAACAAAAAAAGAGTCAACTGCAAATGGAGCTATAAGAATATACACTGCGTCCCATGAATGAACCCACTGAAGAATAAATAATTAATTATAAATAAATTACACAAACTTTAACTAAATTAATTATCACAAAACACTGTACCTCTCCAACATCAACAAAATCTATAATACTTCCAGCAAATGGCATAATTATCAAACATCATTTGTATCTAAACTTACCATAGTATTGAACAATTAACTGAATAAATGAAATAATTACTATTTTCTTTTATTTTTAATTGATTTAAAATAAAAATACAATGAATGACTTTAAAAGTATCAGCTAAAAAGGATAAAGAATAATTAATTATTAAAGAATAATGTGATAGATAAGATGTAAAATATTTTTCATGGTAAATTAAAAATAGTTATAATTTGATGAAAGATGAAAGTCTAAACACACAAATTGATTAGGGTAATGAATGAAATCAGGCAATCTACGACATACAAGTTCGAGATGTATGCAACATAAAAGATCGATAAATTAAAATTCATATTCTTACTTGATTACCGACCCCCCCCTTTCCCCCCAATATGGGTGGGCTAATTTTAATAAGGGGTTTAAAGCAAAACTCTATCAGATTGGCTCAACCTTCGAGATAGTATCACAACGTTGATGCAGTACAAAATGAGTATTAGTTAAGGTTCTGGTCGCTTTTAATAAGCAACCTTTGGATTCTATCTTATTAATTAATTTTTATTGTGAGAACTATTAACTTTAGAAAAAAAATCTAATAATAATTGAATGTTTTAGAAAAAAATCAGCTTCAATCTTTTATGCATCAGGAAGATTTTTTTTTTTTTTGTTAATCTTAAAATTAATAATTTTTGATATGAAAAAATATTTTAAAGAATTTAGATATTTATTCATTATTATTTATTTCTTGTAAACAAAAGCTTGATATAATATAAAAAAATATTACTAAGTTTAAATAAATAAAAAATAAAATATTTAATATTATCTACTTAAATAAAATAATAGTAAATAATAATAATATATTTTAAATGAACTCAATAATAAATATAATATCAATAATAGTATATAATAAATAAATAAATAATACATAAATATAATATAAATAATATATTATGATAAATAGCAAAACTAAAAGTTTCCTGTACTGTCTTTTTTAAATATATTATTTATAAATATATAAATATTTTGTTACTTGATATATTTATTTTTTATTTGAAGAAAAAAAATTAATTGAAATAATAATCAGTCATGGGGTTTTTACAGTATTACAAAAATTTACTAAAAAACATATTTAAAAAATATTGGGCCTTAATAATTCAAATGTCAACATAATACATTAGTCTTACTAATTTTTTAATTTTTTATATCAATTAATTATTATACTTTATTATGATTTTTCTGTCATGTATCAAAGGTTTGTTTAAAAAAAAGTTTCTTTACAAAGGGTTATTTTCAAATGAGTCTTAGTAATATTAATTATTAAAGATGCAATATAATAAACACATTTACACACTCTCGAGTCTAATGTGCAACCTAATTCCTTATTCTTAATTTCAAGGTCAACTAAAGCAGCCTTGCTGTAAGAATCACACTCTGTGTATTCAAAAAAAGTCTCCAAATAATTCTAATTAACTGCTTTATTTTTTTATTCTAATCCAATTCTATCCTCAACATCACCAATAATATAATTTTAAATTAAAACAAAGAATAATAATTATATAATTGCAATTATTTCACATGCTTTATATTCAATATAATTATAATATTTTCTATATATATATTTTAATAAATATTAGTTGCACACAATTATTTGTTTAAAAATTAAATGGCAGTCTTTTTTTTATCACTTAATGTATTTGACCTTGTATGACCTTTCAAATTATGTCACCATTAGATCTGTATTGTTTAAAATAAATATATAAATAATACCAATTATTTTTATTTTTATATAATATTCTGTATTGTTCGCGTGATTCTTACACACATAGAATTTAATGTTTAATTCTGAATCTTCAATAAATTCGCTTACCATTTCTTCTTTTTGATCCCACACCCGAATTAACGTTACTATACACGCCCACTTTATTATACTATAATCATCCTAACGCACTTTTTTAACATCATGTATAATGTTTTTAATTATTACTTTATATTATTATATTATTTATAGTCGAATTTATTATTTATTTTTTTTTATTATTATTTATTTCCAGAAAAATACACGATGTTTGGTCATGTCTTATAGAGTTGACAAGTCAACTGTCCATAGGACTGGAGACCATTATATTTTTGACAAAAAATTACAAATTTAAATATATTAAGCACACCCCGAGTCAAAAAATTGGGACTCATTTTGTCTTCAGTTAGTCTTTAATCGAATTTCAATATATATTTGAGACTATAGGACTAAAAAGTCTTATTTTATCCGCGGTTTTCTATTATTAAGACAATTTGAGACTTTTGAGAAGTTTAGATTTTTTAAAAATCTCACTTTGTCCTCAAAAAAGTCTCATTTTGTTGTTATTGAGGAAAAAATGAGTTCTGCTTGAAAATTGTTTGGTCCATTAAATGAGGACAGGATGAGATACATGAAACGTTATTGGGACTTTATTGAGTAAGCAAAATGAGTTTAAAAAAAGGCTGGTGTGACAAGAAACATTGAGGCCTATCTGAGACTAAGTGGGATTTGGTTAATGATGGCTTATGAGAACTAAATAAAACATTTGAGGTAAAGACATGTTAAATGAATACAAAATGAAGATAGTACGATCGAAAACATTGAGAATAAAATCAATTTAATATGATTGAAAATATTTAGGATAAAATGAGACTAGTGAAGATTCGATGTAAATAGGATTATGAAGACTAATTGAGACATTTAGAATAAAAGAATGTTTAAATCAGACCAAAGTCAGTCTAAATAGTTTACTTCAAGATAAAACGAGTCCCACTTTTTTGACTCGGGACAGTACTCATTTCTAACAAAGTACATTCACGCAGACATAAAAATAATATCCTTGATACTGACATTATAGATATAGAAATAATATAATCCACAAAATCAGTAATTCCATTATCATAAATTCAATGAAGTGATCCATCTACACAATTTCTTTCTTATAATCTTCTTGCTATTCGAGAGATTTTTTAACGTACTAGGAATTTAGAATTTATTTTAAACATTATTATTCCAACAAGAAAATGTATTTAAAAATTAAAATTTTTTTTTTTTATTAACAATTAATTTTAAATATTAATAATAATAAATTAAAATAATTATTATAAACATTGAATGCAATTTTTTTTTTTTATTTGTTGCAGAGAGTATGTCAAAATCTTCCAACAAACCAAAAGTGAGTATTAAAAGAGAATAAAATCTTTCAATAAAAAGCAATAATTAATTAATCAACTTTTTCCTTCTTTTTTTATTTTTTTGTTGAAAGATTTACACCTGAATTATTGATGAAGGAAGTTCCGAACCTGAAATATATCATCGACTTAACGAATACTAATCGTTACTACAACAAAACGGTAAGAAATCGTGACAATAAAGGAATTAATTAAGTTAATGAGTAGAAAATAAACTTTTCAAAATTCTAAAAATAAATTAAAAAGAATTAAATTCAGTGGAGAAAAAAAAAGAGAGAGAGATAAAACTTAATGTGATGAGCCAGTAATATAATCCGAATTCTTTAAGGGGCTGCATATAATTGGGAAGCATATATTTTACATACATGTTTTAAGTCTATATCCACTTGGTTAATCACAATCTTAAAAATAATCATAAAGTTACCTTATTCAAGTAACAAAAACCAACAGTTGATGTTTATCTTAAGATTGGAATTCAGGTTAATCAGGGGCAAAGATATTTTAACTTTATTCTAATAATAAATCTTTTTTTTTTCTTCTCCTTTTATATATTATTATTGATCTTAATGCATTTGTGTGTATAATTTTGAAAAGATTAAGGTCGAAATCTATTAAGTATCTTGATTATTGTAGAGTGAAAGTTGTCTTGGAAGTTTCTGTTATTAATTAGAGAAATCTTTATTTAATAAACAATAATAAATTATTTATTAGTATTTTTTTGTTACAGGAGTTTACAGCTGCTGGTATTCAACATTTTAAAATAATGATTACTGGTGGAGAGGTTCCGAAAGAAACTAAAGTTAGAGAGTAAGTTGCTCCTTTTTTTTTTTATTAAAAAATTTTATTGTTTAAGATGTTTTGAGCAGAAAAATATAGATATATGAAAGTATATAGATGTTTGCGCACTATTTTTAGGCAAATAAATAGATAAAAGTCATGTTCGATACTTATTTTGATTGAGCATGCGCATGAGCTCATTTTTGCAAAAAAAGTCAGTACTGCGCATGCTCTATAAAAATGTGTGGCCAATACGACTAAAATAAAGAAATATCTTGAGAAAAAGATTCACGCATGCGTACAGAAACTGCAAATCCAAGTGCGTTTTCCTTGTAGATACTTTTAACACGCTTAATGCGCTTTAATTTTAATGTTAAATTCCGTAAACAAACTGCAGATTTTCACACACTGTAAAACGTGTAAAAAGTTCCTAGAAATCATGTATAGCTTGTTTATGAGCATTTTACATTGAACACACTTGAAGCGTATTATTTTAATACGCTTGTAAAATCTTGGGATTTGCAGTAGCAACAACGATCTATGGAATGAAACGATATGAAAATGATTGGTTGAAGAATAAGAAAAATATCCGAGATTAACATTCCATAGGTCATTGCTGCATAAATTTTTCCCTAGATAAGTTACCCTACTAGGGAAAAGCTGGCAAAAAATGTTTCTTTTTACACTATATGACCTGAAACGTTAGTAGATTTCATGTTGCAATGTTGCCAATTGTCAATTCGGGTCAGCTCGAGTGAATTCGTTCCCAGTCGTTTTCCCTCACTTCCAAGTGTGTTTGAATAAAACATTTTGATAAAAAAAATAAACATTGATGAAATAAATTAAAAGATGTTGCAACGCTGTGTTACTTACACTATGCGATATAAATGGTGACCGATTTTTAAAATCTTTTTTTGAGGTTATACATGCGATTTCCACTCGAAGACTAACTTTTTTGCCAATAGTGGGAGGCACTGGTTGTAATGAAAAGTCAGTAAGGTAGGGGGAAACTCTTTCTATCAAAATAATAACAATTTCAGTTGATCTGACGCTAGGGGGCGCTGTGAAACCATGTTTATCAACGGTTAAAAGATATTTGGTTACCTCGAAGAAATATTTTATTTATTGCAACCAATTTTTTTTAGAATATTAATCCAGTTATTTAATAATGAAACATCTCTTCAATTACTGTAAAAAAATTGAATGCATTGGAAGCAGAGAATGGAAAGAAATAAAAGTAAATTTTAAAGAGAAGCTTTATGATAAAATGATTGCGTGAGAGAATTTGGTAGAATAGTGCATTAGCAGTGTGCGTGTAAAGTTTAGTTGGCGCCGTGCAAAGGTTAACACGCCTCTTCTTTTTCTCATCTGAGAGTGATAGACCATCAAAATGTTATAGACGTTTTAACTTCTATTATTTCATTATTATTCTTTTATTTCTTAAACCAATATACGTTCATCAACATACTGATGACACCCACGAATGATATATTTGCTGAATCACGTTTACAATTTGAGTTATCTGTTAACAAAACATTTTATCATGCTACTTGCATTTATTTGAATATAATTATTTCGTATCTCTCATGACTTATCATAATAATAAATTAATAAATAATAGGGGATGAATTTGTTTGAATAATTATTTATTAAAAAAGAGTTGAATAAAATATATTTTAATAATGTCTGGAATTTAATGAGTTATAACTTGTTTCTCAAGTACTTTTTTGAAGAAAAAAAAATCGTATAGACTATATGAAAAGGTCAATACATTCTAAAATGTCATAGATGGATTTTAAATGACTATTTTATTTGAAATTGTTATTTGATTTCTTGAACTAAAGCGTGGGCGCTTGGCGCCTCACCAGGGCCCGCCGACGTCTTTATTTTCTTGGACATTCAACATAGATTTCCGTATGTTTTATGTCCTACATTGCAGATTATGTATAGTTGGAAAGAAAAATTAACAAGATACATAGATTAGTAATAATACTTAATTACATAAATAATTAATTAAAAGTGACTCCATTTTTTTTTCTTTTTTTTTAAATCCTTTTATATTCATTTTTCCATTTAAAATGACACTGCAAATCCAAGTGTTTAAAAAGTGTTTGAAAATTACACATTTATCAAGTGTTTATAATGATAATTAAGGCAAAATAATTTAGACCAACAGATTGGCATTAATATTTTTTTTGTAGTATTATTGGGCAAAATTATTAATTAATTTGTGACGGATAATTTGAAAAATGGAAATATCTATTATTGAATAATTATTAATATACAGAATAATATTTGTTAATTAATCATTTTTATTTGCTAATCACTGACCTATTTTATTTTAAAACACCGAAAGAAATGAATTTGAGTAGATTTATTTATATCTACAGTATCAGACATGAATGCTGTATGATTTTCTATAGGATGGTATAGGGAAATCGCATGTATAACCTAAAAAAAATTGGACAACATTTATTTCCGGTACTGTAGTAAAATCACTGTATATCTACACTAATTATTGTAGATTTCCGTTGATCTCGGCGGTAAAAAGGATTCAATGCATCGATCGAAATCACAAAAGATCTATAGAAATCAAAGCAAATGGATGCAAAACCAAGTTGATCTATTCGTGACAAAAAATAAATCTATATAGATTTATTTTATTTTTTCTTGGAACAGTCAAGCTTATTCTTGCAAATATCAACTTCATTTTCGAGGTTATTTTTTTTTATTGCTGTTTGTAGAGAATATTCATACATAACCTCTTTCATACACTGATAGAAGGATTTCTTTGAATGTATCATAATCAATGAACACCTAATAAATATGTTATTTGAAAAAGAATCAAATAAATGTTTGTTAATAATTAAAAAATCATTTATTAGAGTAGATTTATTTGGTTCAAATGAATGATTTCTTAGCTGTCAAGAAATTTTTTATTCTTACCGACATACGATAATTGAACTCAGGGGATAAGGTAGGATTAACGATTGAAATGTTAGGTTATGTTATTTTTATAACGACTTAGCGTTGAATAAAGTAACTGTTATTTTTTGTCAATGTTAAAGTCGAAAGTATTATGCAATACAATAATGATTTTGTAATTCTTAATATTACAATATTATGTCAAACCATAGCTCGACGAGCAATAACATTACAACTATTTGATAAGGTTAGACAGCCTTGCGAAGAAGATTTATTGACTACTATAGTCAAAACACTAAAAAAGTAGACTTGGAGGTTATACGAAAAATTCCTTATACTGACTTATTATGTTTATTATATTTCTTATATTTTAAGTTATTTTGAATTATTATTTATCGAAAATTGTTATACAGGAAATTATTTAATACGGGAAATTAATTATTTTGAGTTGTCAACAAGTTCAGAAATAATTTGTGCGCATGCGCAAAATTAATTTTTCTATATAACCTTAAAATCTACTCTTTCAGTGTTTCAACTATAATAAGTCCTCTTTTGGCCCTACAAAAGATGGATTATACACAATATGACTTTATTTATCATTACGAAATGTTTCTTTGGTTACAAATAATATTTTTTTGAATTAAAACAAATGCGGGGAAAAAAATTTGAATTAATATATCTATTCCCGCCAAGTAAATTCGTCTATCAGTGAATAAAAATTTCATTTTAACTCTACGTATTTATTTTATTCAATTTTTTTTTTCTTTTGAATATTTTATAAAAAAAAACATTTTTCATAAATAAAGTTATGACATTAAGCCACGCTACTTAACTAAAGATATTTCCACTAAATACAGTATTACATAAAACTCTTACAAGTATAGTCTCAAGATCAATTAAGATAGTAGAGGAAATAATATATGAATAAAAAAAGAATAAAAATATAATTATGTAAATTAATTATAGAAGAAAAGCGTCGCGAATTACGAAAAGAAAACACAAAAAAAAAAACAACAACATGTTCGTGTTTCTTATGACATGGGAATTCACGCCACTTATCCTTGGACCTCTCCTTTCATCCTCGCCTAAGGCACAAATTAATGGCGCCGAAAGTATAAAACAACATTAAAACACTGCATGAATGAGCATCAGACACGTTACCACCCACAAACTTGTCAAGTATTGTTTCTCTGGCTGTCTCTCTTACTATCTCCACCTTTCCCTAACATTTTTCTTTTGAATTCGTCTTCTTTATCTTTTCACCTCCACCTTCTTTTTATACACGCACCCGCCGTTGCATGTCAAAATATTTGAGATGGGTTAAACATCACCAAATCTAACTGGATAATCACCACAATCATTTATTAACACAAGCATCCCCGTTTTTCGATTTTGTTTTTTTTTTTCTTTTAAATTATTATAATTCACCATCTATAATATCCGTTAAATATACAGTTTTCTAACGTATTTTATTCAATAAAAAAAATTTTACCTCACTAATTATATAATAATAGACATTTTTAATATCTCCATCAGTGTAATTAACAATATTAATGCAAATTAAATAATTTTCTTCGGTTTTAATTTATTAAATAAGACAACAACACTTAGGCCCTTTTTTCCCATTCAACTATTGTTTTATTTATACATAATATTTTTTTATGTTTTGTGATAATTATAAAAAAAAAAAAAAATTAATGAGAGCATATAACGAGTGTAAATGTGTTGTAAGCGTGAAACGAAGGCGGCAAATGTTTCAAAGGATAATTATGAGCTAAAAAGCCACGTGTGGAGGATAAAAAAGGAGAGAGAAAATAAGAAAATGGGAGGAGGGTAATAGTTGAGACAGATAGCAATTGAGAATGAAAGGTGTTTAAAATAAAAAATTGAATAACATTTTTAATTCTTAACTTGAGATAAATAATAATAAATTATTTATTTATTTTCTTTCAGATTCTGTCGTGTCATGGATATGATTGTATCAATGGCAAAAGATCGTAAGTACATTAAATTGATATAAATATTTTATTTGTTTGTGAATATTATTTATTTATTAACGAAAATAGACTTGAAAGTATAAGTCTATGCACTGCAAATTCTAGTGAATCAAAATAATGCACTTTAAGTGTATTAAATGTTAAAATTTTATGTATAAAAGACTATTGCAATTTGTAGTGATTTTTTACACATTTTAGAGTGTGTTGAATTCGACAATTTGTTTATGGGAATTAAATATTGAACACACTTCATGTGAGTTGTTTTAATATACTTTTAAAATCTTGGATTTACAGTGTACTAAGGTTACACAAGCTCACAAGCAATAAAAGAATGTTTAAAAAAAAAAGAAGTCACTTAAAAAATTAAAGTAATAGGTGTTAAGAAGAGGCATAAGATTTCAAAAGAAAATCATGATATATAATTCAGGCTGCATAATAGGTAATTTTATTTAAATTTGAAAATTAGTTGATATAAATCAAATTAAGATGGCCAGTATCTAATGAAGTAAGCACAAAAGGCGAGTAAAAAAAATTATCAGGCAGTTATAGAGATAGATAGATAGATAGATAGATAGTAGAATTTATTGTTTAAACAATTAAACAAAACGTTACACGAGACAGTAAAATAGTTATCGATACAGACTATAAACGACTATATAATAAGACAGCTAAGTGAAGTCACAGATATTTTCTCTCAGAATAAGTACATTAAAAGATATCTATAAAGGGCCACATTTCAGTGGGTACCAGTCCCAGTAGGGACTGGTGATAGAAGTGAAAACTTAAAACTACACGAGTCAAAAAATTGGGACTCATTTTGTCTTCAATTAGTCTTTAATCGAATTTCAATATATATTTGAGACTATAGGACTAAAAAGTCTTATTTTATCCGCGGTTTTCTATTATTAAGACAATTTGAGACTTTTGAGAAGTTTAGATTTTTTAAAAATCTCACTTTGTCCTCAAAAAAGTCTCATTTTGTTGTTATTGAGGAAAAAATGAGTTCTGCTTGAAAATTGTTTGGTCCATTAAATGAGGACAGGATGAGATACATGAAACGTTATTGGGACTTTATTGAGTAAGCAAAATGAGTTTAAAAAAAGGCTGGTGTGACAAGAAACATTGAGGCCTATCTGAGACTAAGTGGGATTTGGTTAATAAAGGCTCATGAGAACTAAATAAAACATTTGAGGTAAAGACATGTTAAATGAATACAAAATGAAGATAGTACGATCGAAAACATTGAGAATAAAATCAATTTAATATGATTGAAAATATTTAGGATAAAATGAGACTAGTGAAGATTCGATGAAAATAGGATTATGAAGACTAATTGAGACATTTAGAATAAAAGAATGTTTAAATCAGACCAAAGTCAGTCTAAATAGTTTACTTCAAGATAAAACGAGTCCCACTTTTTTGACTCGGGTATAAAATAACAATGATTTGTTTGAATTTTAAAATTAATTGTAGTACCAAAAATTGAAAATTGATTATTTTTAAATGAAACTTATTGATATTAGTCTAGTTTTAACATCTATCGAGACTCCAAGTAATTATTCTATTCATTTTTATATAGTTTATTTATTAATTAAAATACACCATAGATTTCGCAGACTCAGTACAAAGTATTAATGCTACTTTATTTAAATAATAGTTGATATACACTAATATTATTTATATATACAGTTGGTATTAACATAAATATCAATCATCATTATTATCATTAACTTCAACAATACTTCAATCATTTGTACTTTGAATAATTTGATTACATTGTAAAAAGGATACGATAGGTCTAGGGTAACTGAAGTAACAAACGAAAATTTATGATTGGAATTGATGTAAATATGGTGTAAAAACTGGATCAATCGTCGTTTTATATTTAGTCGTAGTGCATTTTCGATCATTGGACATGTTGGTGATGCAACCAACTCACTAGTTCATACCCTACTAAAAATCACTCACCACACCTAAAGAAGTTTTCACTTCAAAAATAAGTAGTGAGAAGCTGACTTAACTGAATTGAGAAAAATAGGACGATTTATCACATTTCAAAACTGTAAGAAGAAAGCAGTATTACACCACCTATACAATATGCTTTATAATATATTATATTAAATACTAAATAAGAATACGGAATTATTATCCAGCAATGAATATACATAGTTTAACTTCAGTTATTGTGTGAATACCGCTGCATTTACCATCAGTTAACCCTCAAATATATTGAAAAGTAACTTCTTGGCAATAAATAGAACATTCGAGAAGTGATTCAAGGAGTTAAAATAATTGAATTAACTAGTTATTACCTCAATAATTAATTAGCTCATTACTTACAAATATTTTTATTATTTAAATATAAATATTGACCAACATAATAATAATAATAATAATAATAATAATAATAATAATAATAATAATAATAATAATAATAAGAAGAAGAAGAAGAAGAAGAAGAAAAAAAATGATTTAATCATATTGTTCATGGGAAAGGTTTTCAATAATGACTCTTTAATTTTTTTTTATACAGTGATATTTTATAAAGTTACTTAAGAATAAATATATATGAGTAATTGGAACTGAGATAGAAAGAGTTGGAATGAAAAGAAAAAATCCATAAATAATAAAACGAATTAAATATGAATGAGGGGGTGTATATTACAGTTGACTAAAGAGTCTAGAATGAGAGTTAATATTTGAAACGAAGATGACGACGATTGAAAGTGAGAAAAGAATGGATATTTTCACCCACACATTTTCAACTACGCGTACACGCTGGTTGTTAATTATCTGTTGCCGTTTATCAACTACTCGAGACCAAAGTTACTGATTTTACTCATTCTTTATTCAATTTATTTCCGTGTATATTTTTATCTTGTATCTAGGAGTATTTTAGAGTTTAAAAAGAATACCACAAATTGTAAATTACTTTTCTTAAATTTATTATACTTGAGAATCGCAATTGAAGTCATTCACACTGATTTATGTTAACTGTATATAAAATGTATAGTTAAAATTCATATGTGATTCCTTTTCTCTTTTAAATATATTTTTTAAATATTATGCGAAATAACAACTCCAAAAATTCTATAAAACTAAATATAAACAAATAAATTAATCCTTTCTGATAACAATTATTATTAATTAGTTAAATATTACATTAAAAATATCACAACGAATGAAATTTGCACTTTTTATTTTTTTTTACATTCAGAATAAATGTAGCTTTCGATTGAAACAAAAAAAATTTCAAAAAGTTTATTTGTTGATGAACTACAGTCAATTGTTTAAAAAAAACAGTGGTACCTTTTTTATTAACAATTAAATATCTCGAGAACTATTGATGGTAGAAAACTGAGACTGGTTTCATTTTATTCCTCATAAAAATCTCTAAAAATTATGTCTGACATGTTTTGATCTCCGATGTGTTGTTTTCAAGATATTAATTTTTAAAATCTAGAAAAGGCTATTTTTTTTTTTGATATACAGTATTTGTTTATAATCCACTTAGTAATTTTTTCCATTACGCTAAAGTGTCACTGTATTGCCATCAAATTGATGATAATTTGTACAATAAATTTCTCTTCGAGTACTTTAATGCACCTAAAATTTATTTAGTGCATAAACAAAAGCTTTTTTTTAAAAAATTAGTAATATTTTTTGTTTTAAATGTAAACAATTGAATTTATGTGATCACTTAAAGACATTGCACAATGTTTAACAGATTATTAGTACATGTATACGGTGATGAAACATTAGTTTAATTAAAAACGTTAAATATATATTACTAATTGAAAAGAGTCTTGAAAACTCCATATATATTTATGGATCCGATTGATTAAACCAATTTAAAATGTTGTTCAGATTGATGATGTACTTGAGATACTTGACAAAATAAAAATTGTCGATATTTTTTATGTTTACAACCTTACCGATATATTCTCTCTTATTTCAACGAGACTCTTACATATATTCTTAACTGGATTTTAAAGTTTCAATGCTACTGGTAAGCCCTTGTGCGACTTTAACCGCGCCTTCTCATTTACTTTCTGCATATATATCATGTTGCCACATTAACCACGTCGCTTCAAGCACTTCTGTAAGTGTTCTCGGTAGTTCAAAATGCAATATTGACGTTTTCAACCACCGTTATATTTGAAACAAACAAAAAATAATTAAGTGCTCTATAATGAAAAGTATTTGAATAAAAAAAAAAAACATCGTTTTTCAATTAATATTTTAGTTAATGCAGTAATTTTTTATTTATTTATTTATTTTATGACCAGAAAATACAATTTAACAAAGATTTGCATCTATAGAGATGAGAAATTCATCTGTAAATACAATAGAAATCGAAAGTGTGTTAAAATAATACGTTTTAAGTGTGATCCATGTTAAATTGATATGCACATACTATAGAACCTTGTTGTTATTTTCAACACACTTCAGAGTGTACTGACATCTATAGTTTGTTTATAGAGTTTAACATTAAACACAACTTTGAAGTTGCATAATCGAAATCATAATAATCGATTGTTTAAAATCGATTTTGTAGGAGTTTTATTAGGAATTCTCCGAAAAATCGATATTGAAAAATTGTTAAAAAAGAAAAAAACTTACTTTTTTTAATTATTCGAAAAAACCGTCTTCGATTAAAAAATATCGATTTTATAATACAAACTATCGATTTTCGATTATTTTTTTTACAACATTCACAGTATAAATCCAAGGCGTGTTACTGTAAACTTATCTACAAGAGTTCAATATTAAGATCCGTAAACCAACTATAGATTTTAACACGCCTTGAAGTGTGTTAAAAATGACGACAAAGTTCTATAGTTTGTGTGTAGCAATTTAACATTGAACACGCTCAAGGTGTGTTATTTTGACAGTGTATTTAGTTCCCTTCACATCATGCATGGGATCATAATAATGATCAACATTTTGGCAAAAAAGCGACATCTAGTTAACAGTTCTATAAATTATTTCAACTGGCCATCTCTCCCGGACTTAACCTATGCATGTTTACTGTAACACACCTTGAGTGTATGTTAAATTGCTATACACAAACTATAGAGCCTCTTTGTAATCTTCAGCACACTTCAGAGTGTACTGACATCTATAGTTTGTTTATAGGGTTAAACATTGAACACATCTCTAAATGTTTTACGGTAACACACTTTCGATTTACAGTGTAAGTTCGGTTAAAACGATTTACAAAAAGCAACCAATTACATACAAAAAACCCGTTCATTGAGGATATTAATTATTTATTAATTTTATTGAGTTATTTTATTTATTTATTCGAATAAAATTTTTATTGGAATGATTGTTGACAATGCAATAATAATGGAGATTGTTGTAAATAAAAAATAAAAGGTCTTTGATTTATTGTGATAACAAAATATTTCTTTTTTGTGTATATTTGTCGCACTTTGAGTCGTCGATTCAAATTAATCGAGGCTTCTCATTTAATTGATGAAGCCGCCTCCGCGATTCTGTACATTTGGCTCCCGTTGAGCGATTCTACGATACCACAACACAGCGGGTAGTATTTGCTGATTTTCTATACGGGTCTCTTGATATTCTGGTAATACTCAATGGGTGGTCAGAAAGAAAGTATCACAAGTTATTCCCACATTTATTAAAAAAAAAAATCAAAATCAAAATAACTTTAAATCTCAGTTTAAAAAAATGTCTAAAAACAAAGAAAGTTGTTGTAAAATCTTAAAAAAAAAAAAAGAAATAATTAATTCGTCCTGTTATTGTTAATTAAAAATATTCTTTTAAGATTTTAATTTAATTCTTTTTTTTTTATTATGTTGGTAATGATAAATAACTTGGCAGTGATTTTTGTATATTAAAAAATAACTCATGATAAAGACATAAGTGTTTTTGTTTTGAAGTAAATAAAATTAAAATGATACAATCACGACGAAACATCAACATAGTCGTGAAATTTATTAATCTTATACTGTAGATTTGCATTAGATGCTTTCTTATTCTCAGAATATACGTAATAATGTCTGGGAGTGTAAGTTAGTAGTTATAGTGGAAGTAGTAGTAAAAAGGTAGTAGAGAAGACATGATGCTTGAAAGTATGAATTACTGTCATGGAAAACGAGATGACCTCGCGTTTTTAAGAGATATAACTGAAATAAGCTGACTGTCCTTTACCCTGAAACAGCCAACCAGGACTATGTATACTCATATTACAACTGCATTTTTTCCTGGGGCGTCTAGGTTATTGTTTCCCCCCGCCCCCCCTTTTTTTTAATTATTCAAATATTTCTGTCAATCAATTATCAATAGGTTTGTTTAAAAAGTATTTATTATTAATAAAAGAATCATTATTACAAACTGTTAAAAATTATTTCATTTATTTTTAAAGATGACAGATCACAAGATTTTTTTTTAATTCATTTTTGACAGTACACACTGTAAATCTCAGTTTTCCAAAATGCATTATTTTAATGCGAATAAGTGTGTTAAATATGACGTCATCCATTTGATTAACATTATAGTAACTTTTTACACACTTAGAAATGCGTTAAAAGGGACTACAATGTTAATCAAATGGGTGACGTCATATTTAACACACTTATCCGCATTAAAATAATACATTTTGGAAAACTGAGATTTATAGTGCAGTATCGGACATTATGCTGATAGATTTGAAGCAACTTATTGTTAACTTTGAGGTTGGGTTTTATTAACCTCAAATCACTTCAGTTTTTTCTCGTTAAAGTGTGCATTTTGTATTTGTTTTTTTTTTTCACGTGAAAAATATTTAGGATTATTCAGAAAAGTGGTATACACATTGGAAAACAAAGACTTATAGTACAAGTGTAATAATAATCGTAGAATAAATAATTTTTCAGTGAAGGACTCATGACAAGTGCATCCACCATGACACCTTGAGATTCACTGAAAAATTATTTATATACCAATAATTGACTCTCGAGCAACCGTTTGTGAATGGTAAACTCATAGTTAATAAATCGCACATTCTAACCGTTAATTAACAGTTGATTTAAGGTTAAATTACCCTAAAATTACTGAAAAAAACGCTGAATATACTATTCACCCAATTGCAACTCTTTGTTAACAGTTAAAATGAATCCATCAAGGTATTGCCTTTTCAATTTTTGAAGGTTATACACGTGCTTCCCTATACCTTCCTATACCAAAAAGACTCAGCGTTGATGTCCGGTAATGCAAATCTGGAAAAATTCAAATGATTAGTAATAGAACGCTAAAAGTGTTTAAAAATAAAACACCTAAGTATTTACAATGATAAACCCCATAAACAAACTATAGCACTTTTTTGGTAAACGGCAAAAAGCGTTTAAAAATCGTCTTCAAAATTACTATAGTTTGCTTATGGCATTTAACATTGTAAACGTTTTACATGTTTAGTTTTTAAACACTTGGAATTGTCATGCATATTAGACTGAAAGATTAATTAACACATTATAATTAATTATTAATGTCATTTATTCATAATTGAACATATATTACTTAATAAATAATTATTAAAAAATTTTTTTTAATTTTTATATTACACAACACTCAATAACTTAATTTTTTTTATTATGTTTTCAGACGAAATAATTGGTGTTCACTGCACACATGGTATTAACCGCACTGGCTACTTAATTTGTAAATATTTAATAAAAGTATGTGGCTGGGATTGTCACTCTGCTATAAAAGGTAAGCAAGCAATGAACTTGAATTACTGAATAACAATTAAATTGTTGAGTTTTATAATAATATCATTTCTTTGTTTATTTTGTTATTCTATAGCTTTTGAAAGTGCACGAGAACACAACATTAGAAGAATGAATTATATCCAAAGTTTGTTGCTTGATTCAAAAGGACCGCTACCTTATGTACCTTCAAGTCCAACCAAAAAAGTTGGATCGTCAATTTCATCAAATCCACGTTTACCAAGATTATCATTACAACGGTCTAATTGGAGAAATCATCCACCACCACCACCATTTACAACTACTTCTTCTTCTTCTGTGATTCATAATTCTGTTGTTCACAACCACAGATCTCCAGTTTCACATCCATCAAGATCAACATGTCAACGATCTAATTGGAGAGATCATCCACCACCTCCACCTTTTCATAATAATTCTTCTCCTTATAATTCATGTAATCAATTCAATTCTTTTTCACGAAAACATCAACGTAAATGTGATTCTAATCGTAATAATAATAATCAAAATAATGAAAGTTTACGTAGTCGTCGTCGAAGAAGAAGACATGACGATCTCGTTTCTACATATCACGAATAATATAGCTAATTTTTCAACGCAATGATTCATAATTACGTAATAACATGACAGCTTAATGTGTATTAATAATTGTAAATTAAATTAATAAATTTCATTTATATTTGTGCAACTATTTTTTTTGTCTAGTCATTGAGTAAAATTTCCTTATCCTTATTATTACCTAACATACAGAGCTATCAATTGAGCATTTGTATAATTGTTTAATTCTTTAACAAATTTGATAAAAAATTCATTATTAAGATATACAAAATCTTATTTTGAACAATTACACAAGTCCAATAGTATTCATTCCCTTCCATGAAGTCCTGATTTGAACATGATTTTCATTATTAAACATATTTTAGCATAAATAATGCTCCGATTATGATTTTAGCTAGTGCAATGGAAAGGTCTCGTTCTCAGGAATCCATTGGTATGCTCAAAGTCTACGTAGGTCTCATAGATCGTGAGATATTGGAAGAAAACAAAGTTATACTTTAGCGAATCATAAAAAAATCTTTAAACGCTCATAACTCGAAAACTATGCGAGATACGGGATTTTTGACGGGGTTTGCCAAAGAAAAGGGGATGCCGAATTTGTCTCTCAGGTCTAGATCTTTCAAATGAGCCCTCGATCAACCCCGTAGCATCATTAGCATAGAAGTTATGCATACTTTTATGTTTTGCAGTTTTTCGCAAATATCTTGCGATCTATGAGACCAATCAAGATCGACAGCTAGTGTTTTGGAACCGTCTCATCAAGACCTTTCTGATGATGCCCATGATTTGATGATTCAAGCATAAATTATGATTTCGAGATTTTTCATGAGGACAAGAAGTAAAATTCGTAATTCAAGTGTATATTCCTTTCAGTGTGATAAATCACAATTCAATCGTTGTAAAGGAGCAGAAATCAAATCTCACGATGAAATTCGGATTTTTTCCGTCTATTATCAATACTTAGGAATTTATCACTGTTATGTCAGGACTAACATGAAGTACGTCAGGAGGTAGCAATCACTTTTCTTTTCATACTATCACAAAGCAATACGTATCTGGAATTGACTCATTCAAACTACGAAATTACTATTCAAAACTTTTTTTGATTAATCTATATAAATCCATCTAATGTCCCGAGTCAAAAAATTGGGACTCATTTTGTCTTCAGTCTTTAATCGAATTTCAATATATATTTGAGACTATAGGACTAAAAAGTCTTATTTTATCCGCGGTTTTCCATTATTAAGACAATTTGAGACTTTTGAGAAGTTTAGATTTTTTAAAAATCTCACTTTGTCCTCAAAAAAGTCTCATTTTGTTGTTATTGAGGAAAAAATGAGTTCTGTTTGAAAATTGTTTGGTCCATTAAATGAGGACAGGATGAGATACATGAAACGTTATTGGGACTTTATTGAGTAAGCAAAATGAGTTTAAAAAAAGGCTGGTGTGACAAGAAACATTGAGGCCTATCTGAGACTAAGTGGGATTTAGTTAATGATGGCTTATGAGAACTAAATAAAACATTTGAGGTAAAGACATGTTAAATGAATACAAAATGAAGATAGTACGATCGAAAACATTGAGAATAAAATCAATTTAATATGATTGAAAATATTTAGGACAAAATAAGACTAGTGAAGATTCGATGTAAATAGGATTATGAAGACTAATTGAGACATTTAGAATAAAAGAATGTTTAAATCAGACCAAAGTCAGTCTCGATAGTTTACTTCAAGATAAAACGAGTCCCACTTTTTTGACTCGGGTATGCATAGACCAGTGGCTCAAATAATACGTTGGATACATGATTTTTTTTGGGGACTATCCCTAAACTATACAAATGTCCTCAAATAATACCTTGTACTCAAGAAATGTCCTCAAATGACACTCTGATTAGATTTATTATTATGTAACGTAATTAGGCACATTACGCGGACGAAGTCGCGGGAATCAGCTAGTATAATAATATTTCCATAACTCTGGAATAATATTCTTACGTACCAACAGTCACCGAGTGCTACAAAAATCGATCAATGTGTTTTCATTCAAGAAGAAATTAAAACAAAAAATTCCTCTGCAAAAATGACATCGCATCAGTACTTCCGGAAATATAAGAATTTAAAGTTGACCAATCACATGCCTGTCGCCATTTTATTTTCAAGAATAAAATAGTGCTTGGGTTTATTATTATCATTATTATTTTTAATATTATTAATTACAATAAAATTTTTAAAATAATTTTTACATTTATTATTTTTTAATTAAGATGGAAAATTAAATGATTTATGATGAACGATAAAGTTATTTTAAAGGTAAAAAATTATAAACGAAGGAAGAAAAAAATGACGAAAGAAGGATAAAGAGATAGACGAGTTATCTTTCAATATTACCTAATTATATCTCAAGATTGGCTTTTCCGTCGTCCTTGACTTTGTAATTTAAAATTCTATTGAATTATTTATTAATTATTCTATTTGAAAAATTATTAAAATGAAGTTTTAATAATAAAAAAAAAAAGATAATAATAATAACAAAATCATCATTCAACGTTTCGTGACATAATTCACTCGAAAAGCTTTTATATAGAGGACAAACAAGTCTATAAAGAGGATACTTTTCGGCGTGATTTCCGCACAAGTTTTACAACTAAAATGATCATTTTGTTTGAGAATTCATGAGTCTTCTGATCAATAAATATGACTGACTAAAAGTGTGAATAAGAAATTTCTTACTAGAAATAAGTAACTTGATATCTTTATCACTGATTTTCATTCTGATGAATTCATGATAAATTATCATCTGCTGTACTGCTGTTGTATCAAATTTAATAGACAAACATCAGTTTTTTTTTTTCTTTATTCTTTTTATTTTTTCAAACACAAAAGTATCGTTATTTTTATGAAATAAAGTAGGAAATAGTTTAGTGGAATAATAATAAAAAATTTCCAATGTAACATTCCAACACAGAAAGGCACACACTGATGATATATATCATTGAGTCAAACTCTCAAGCATGATATCCAAGCACGCCCATACAGTGGTATTTATTACTCGACAATCTTGCTCTCTGTATTAGCATTACATATTAATTCCGCTTACCAGATGTGCAATCTTGATACCAAACAACTAATACATAATACGATCTGTTAGTTTAGACATCAAAGAAATCCACAATGCCATTACTCAACAATAAATCAATTTTCAGAATAATTTTTTTACATTTTTATGTTCATCCTTCTTTTGTTGCTATTTTTATTGGAAATTATTGCTTCGAGAAATTAATTTTAATCATTAATAAAACCATTTGATTTATTTTTTTTATTATTTAGAACTACTTTGCAAATCCAAGATTTCATAAACGTGTTAAAATAACACACATCAAGTGTGTTTAATGTAAAATGTCTATAAACAAACTGTACATGTTTCATAGACTCTTTGGAGACATTTTAAGGTTAGGTTTTACTAACCTCAAATTTTCGTTGCCAAGGTGTGCATTTTTATTTTGTTTTTTTTAAGGGAAATATAATTATAAGTGTTTAAAACAATGGTATACACTTTAACGGTGTAAATTTAGTAATAATTGCATGATAAATTTTTTTAGGGAATGGTTCATGACAAAAATACCCGCCATGACACCTCAGAATTTACTAAAAAATAGTTTATTATGCAATTATTACTAAATTTACACTCCTAAACTTTATTCTCCACCGTGTATACCATTGTTTTAAACACTTATAAGTATGTTTTCCGTGATAAAAACAAATAAAAAATGCACAGTTTAAAGATAAAAATTTGAGGTGTTGTGAGGTTAAGAAAGCCTGGCTTTATGTGTGTGAAATGTCTATAGTTTGTTTATGGCATTTAACATTGAACAGGCTTAAAACGCGCCAAAAGTGTCTATAATAATAACACACTTGTATTTACAATGTGCAAATCAGTTTTAAATATTATTAAATAAACAATATAAATATATACTTGAAACATAAATAACCTAATTTGTTGATAATTAAAATAATAATTGAATTTCATTCATACCTCAGCACTTTTCAAGCTAAAGTCATTAATTCATGATTATCAATAACCATGATGGATTTAAGTATGTAAATAGATGATTTATTAGACAATGAGGTAATATTCATATTAGTTTTGGTAATTATTTAGAATTAAGGCTCCAGACAAAAATTTCTCGAAAAAATTTTTTACTACCCGGAAGCTACTTTCTTAGTAGAAAATTAGATATTCAAAGATGGAGGATACATTTTTTAAAAGAGGACAGGTGGTGAGAGAAAAGGGGGAGGGGTGGTTAAAGAGTATAAATATTGTTTGTCATACCCGTGCGGAAAGTTCACTTTTCCATTGGAGAGGGGTTGAACTTTCCACACAGGTATGACTAAAAATCATATTCAGCCCTAGGGAGGAAAAGTAGACTATCATAAATCATGGATAAAATTACGAAACGTAAACACGTGGTTTAGGATAGTCTACTTTTCCTCCCTAGGTGTGAAATGTACCATTTAATAATAACTATTTTTTTATATAAAATAAATTTACTATTTTTACTCTCAGAAATAACCTCAAATACATAAAAACTTGTCCGGAGCGATTTTCGATTGGAGCCTTAATTCTTAATAATTACTTCATTTTTTGTAGCACTAGAGGTCGATAGTGCGCTTCGCGTACCTTGGTAAACATGTTCCACGATTTTTTCCATCAAACGCACACAATTCTCATAACAAAATACTTTAATATTAATATAAATAATACCATAAATAATATAAATATAATAAAATCTGATTGGAAAATAAAAATAACCTATCACAATAATCATTCTTTTCGAATTAACCAAATTTAAATAAAAGCTATTTACCGCCAATAAATTCAACGACCAATCAAATGACGAATAAAAAAGGCGACGGATATGACGCCATTCTGACGTCAATTCGGCAATCAATTTTTTAAAAAAGGAAATTATGAGACAAAATTATGAATAAACTTTGTCATGAATAATTTGGAAATGAAAATATCAATTACTAAATAATCATTAATATACAGAATGAAATAATAAATGACGTAATTAATTGTGACGATTGGAAAGATTTGGTGTTATCAATGTTATCAATGGATCAAAGTATG